TTTTTTTTTTTTTTTTTTTTTTTTTGTTGGTTGTAACAATGGTCATTTTAAGGTTGGCAACCTGGGATCCCAGAGTTTGTGTCAATCTGGGATGAAGACTGGGACAAGTTTGAAGATGAAGGTTTGGCATCTCTTGCTTTTCACCCATCCCTAATCAATTTCATTAATACTGTCAGCTTTGTTACCCTTATTGTTATCATATAGACACTAACTGTATACATATGATGACATGCTTTATTTATTGCTACCAGGATTTTCATTTGATGTTGCTGTCCCTGCAAATTCCAAGTCAACATCTGTTCACAAAGAGAATTCTTCGCCGACTCATAACTTTTCCCCTGATTCTGGGTCAAATGCTGATGCTACATCTGAAAAACCCTTCAGTAAAGGTGTAAGTCCTTTCGAGACTGAATCGCCCTATGCACATAGTGAAGATGAATCAAAGAGTTCTCAAGGAAGTCCAGCAAGACAAACAACATTTGAAAGTCCATCTCCCAAATACTCAGAAAATGATTTCAGGAAGAGCTCCGATGGAGAAGCTGAAATTCATAGGTTTGAATGGTTTTATATTTGTCGGACATCATATTATTTCGTCCTATGTAATGGCATGTACTCCATATTTATATCGTCCAATCGTAATATGGAGTCTGATATTTTCTCTCTTCTTCCCACATTTTGTGTTTTCGTGATGCTGCAGAAGCTTTGACGAACCTGCATGGGGTACTTTTGACAATAATGATGACATTGATTCAGTTTGGGGCTTCAGTGCTAAGGTGAGAAGACTTGTGGAGTCCTAGTCCATCTTATAACATCAGTGTTAACTTCAGCAATGGTTGCTGAAATTTGTTAAAAATTTCAAAATGGTCATTGAAGTAATATTTTTTATGAAATAATGATTGAAGTTTCTAACGGTTACACCAATGGTCACTCGCTAGAAACGTTAACCCGGCATCTAATACGCCACATGCCAGCCAAAGTCGTTTTTAAAAAATGTGTGCTTTTGAAGCCAAAAATGATTTAATATTACTTTCAAATCGGGGAGGAAACATGGGATAACGTAAATGGTGAGACTTTTTGTAACTTTAAATTGCATTCGACACCCATGCTTTTATTTTTGACTGCAGTTTTGTATGACATGGCGTAATAAATAACGCCATTTGTTAAGATGTGGTACTTAACGGCATGTCATAGGATTTAATGTTAATGTTTCTATGAGTGTTTATCAGTGTAATTGTTATAAACTTCAGTGACTGCTATTGTATTTCTCCGAACTTCTGTGGCCATTGGTGTAATTAACCCTAAACATCAATATGTTTGCCAAAATTGGTAATTCATGTCTGTGCAAGATTCTGCACAATCCAAGCTGGTGATTTCATGTCGTATTTGCTCCTCATTCCTTATGAACCATTGAAAAGGAATTGGCGTCCAATATATGTTGGGATAAGACGGGAAGATATATCTAACAATC